TGCAATTCAAAAGGCCGCTTTCTTGTCCCCCCACCCAACCACATCATATCGCTTCCCCTCATGTCCCTCCCTTTACTTGCCTACACTTATTAGTGCTTCCGTCGTGACTCTTACTCTATCATATCTTATTAGTGCTTCCGTCGTGACTCTCACTCTATCATCTTTTTTAAGACGTTAAAGGAGCCGAATTTTGTGAATTTGATTTTTAATTTAGTGAGTTTATTTTTTAAATTAACCTAATAAATTATTAAGTTTGTCTCGTGTACAACTCAAGTTTAAATCAAACCGAATATTTCAATTTAACTATATTGTATATAAATAAGTCGAATTTTGTAAGTTTAAGTTAGGTCTTTTTTAAATGAGTTTAAAAAATTGTTCAAGTTTAACTCTTTTAGATTACGAGTCTAACTCGAACTGAGTTTTATTTGAATTAAGTTGGAACCGAATTCAAGTAGGTCATCTCAATTAATACCCCTACTCCTATGCTTACCCTTTATGCCTCCAAATTGTTCGTATGATTTTTTTAAATCATATAAAATGAATAATTTATCTAATATTATAGTTATTAAATTAAGTTCTTAATTTATAAAATATAATATCAATTAAATTTGATCTAATTTTTATATATGTTAATTTAATATTATAATGAATGCAATAAAAAAACGATGACTTTTTTAATTCATTTTTTTAATATATGAAGTGAGATTTTCCATGTCAATAGTAAATTCAACTATATCTTTACTCCTTTTAGTAATGGTTATTCGTTATTCCCCAAACAACTTGATGAATAGGGAACCAAGCAATCATTTACCATACTTTATATTTGAAACTAAAAATATCTGGTAATCCACAATAAAAAATCTTTTTAATTCACCCTAAATATGATTTTTTTTTCAAAAATACCATTTATTTGCACGATTCTCAATGCCAAACAAATTCAACAAATACACTCTCGCATCAATTCATATATAATTTTATCTTTTCTCTTTCTTATTTTATCTCTGTTTATTTTAATTTTAAATTATGTAATTAAAAAATTACTATTTAAAATATAAATTTCGCACGATCAAAGTTCGATTTTTTCATATGAAAAATATTGTGTCCACCAAAAATTTTTACCAAATTAAATCTATATTCACTATATTCGTGCAAAATTGACAAATCATGCTAACAATCCTCAATCATGTTAACTACCATCTCCTCTTACATATGCTCACTATATATATTGCTTAGCAAAATTCAAATGAAAAACACAATGTATTGCACGACAAAGTACCTTCTCAAGGGTATCAAAACACTATCCTTTTCAAGGAAATATATATTGATTCTGATCCCCTTTTTGACCCTGGTGATTTGAAAGAGTGGACCCTACTGTTGTGGCCTTCAGCATCTGGACAGCCATTGGGTAGGACCCATGTTGTCTTCATGCATGTGAGTGGAGGGGTATTTCTGACTTCAAATTTTGATTTACATGTAACGTGGGATGGGAAAAACTGAATCTTCCTGAAAAAAAAAAAAGGAGAGCAGAGAGTAATGACTAATGAGTGAGTGGTTGAAATTTTGTTAGAATGGGCTAAGCAAGAGCTGTTCTTCCTTGTCTCCTATGATTACTTTGCTGCTCACTTCCTCGGCTGGTTCCAAGTAAGTGGTTTAGTCTCGTGTTTGATATTTCCTACACTCGCAATGGTCGATCAACTTTAGAATATATTCTTGAATTAGTTCAAGTTATAACCGTCAATTTTAAAATTTAAAGAAATAATCGAAATAAATCTAGATATTATATACTAAAAACAAATACATACTTGTGTGCATCAAATTGGTGAAGGTGTTGTGATTGAATAATTTTATGTATACTAAAAGTATGCACCAAATCATTGTTAGCCTTTCCACTATCATCCAACGATCGACAATGATTTGGTGCATACTTTAGGTGTACAAATTTGATACACATAGCATTATTGGTTGTCACTAGGGTCAAAGGTGTTTGACGAATAATTTGTACCATTTGGTTTAATCATCGAACAAGATTAACACGTAAACTCATATATCTTTAATTCGAATTTGACTGATCCCATAAAATTTAGATTTACTGGATATATATATAGGTATGACTAATTGTATGTATCTTGTGATCGTTTATAAAAAAAGACAAGCAATTAGGATGATGATCAGGAGAAGGAAAATAAAGGAAACAAAGGTGTCCGATGGACATGTGAAAGATTGGGTGAATCACTGCTCAGAAAGCTTAGGATATCTTGTGGGTTTATCCTACATGATTCGGGAAAGCGACAATGGAGGGCCTGGGCCATGCCTAATTTTAGATTGATTGGATGCTGCATAAATGGATAAATTCGGGCAACATGAACCTGTCCTGTTAGGGGTAGTTCTGTCCCGTCAAGTCCTCATCATGTACAAATCCAACTCATTTGTGTGCGCCTAGGATGGGTTATTTGGGTATAGATTTAACAATTGTTTAGGGATGACTTTTTAAGATTTTGAAGAATAGGAGTTACCAACTAGTATAATTTTAGAATATTTTATGAGAACAATTGTAAAATTAAAAAATATTATATGTCTGAACCAATTTATGAGTATCTCGATTAATTTTTTTTTCAATCCAGTCAAAAAGACTATTCACACCGAAATTAAAATATTTATGAAGGGCAAATCTCTTGTGGTTTGACCTTAATGAGTTATCACGATTTGCATTCAGGACGTCTGAATTTACAACTCGTCCCTACTATCACTATTCCTTAAAATTCAAAACTATAAAATTTTTCGGGAGGTGATGTCACCTTCCCTAGATCCATCATTGATCGTAGTCGAATTGATTATTATGACTAAATACATTATAGACATTAAAGTAAGTGAAAATATTGTTGTAGTTCCCCATGAATTTGATCCAAGTTTTAAAATGTATGGCTAATTAAATCTAAAATGAGTTAGCATTATTGAATGAGTGAGTTTCGTCAATATTTATAAATTTTTCATGAATACTCTAATTCCGACATGAATAATCTATGTTTTGGCTAGATCAAAGAGAGAGAGGAGATTAGTCGAGATAAAAAAATCACTTTTTTTTTCTCATTCATTTTTTTCTCTATTAAGGCTATTACAAAACTCATTCACTTTTTTCTCTAGTTTCTTTTGTTTTTTGTTCTGTTTTGTCGGAATTACACATCGGAGAGATGGGCAAATGCTTCATTTGAATAATAAAATATAAGTTTGAGGTCGAAAATTAATTTCTTTAAAATATAGATAGGTTATGTATCATTTACTTTCAAAAAATGTGTTATAAGTGGAAGTCCAATAAACTCGACACAACTTGGCTGTCTGATTACTTATTTATTTATTTAATTTCTTAGTGTTATTCATTTAAGAAAAAAGAAAGCAAAAAATGATGGCATTGTACATGTTAGAATTGGTGCTTATACTTTGTTGCTACGTTACAGCCATTATTCCTAACTGATGTGTTTGTGCCGTGTTGAATGATATTCTTATAGTTTCAGTTTTGAGGCAAAGTATGCGTGACATACTACTTTATCGCCCACGTAATTGCATCAGACATCTATTATCATTTTAACATTGAATCTGTTTGGAAATGACCGAAAACTTTAGTTTTTTTGGATGATTTAAAGAAAAAGAAGTCTAGTGTGTTTGAATTTGGGCTTATTGAGTGAATTTTTTATCAATTTTTATGATAAAAACAACTTTTATCAACACCAAAAATAAACTGAAAAATGATATTTATCCAAGGACTTTTAAGGAAAAATCATTTTTTTTAGAAACTCTCCCAATGATTTCAAGAGTTTTTTTAATTCTGATTTTTCATTTCATCTTTTAACGCCCAAAAAAATTAATTTCAAATGAACCAAATCTTTAAGGGTATTGATATAGAGTTTTCGAATTTGAGTATGCTCAGCATAATCAAGTACTAGTGATCTTATTTGGATTTTGCCCATTACGATATCTACCCAATTAAAAAACTCAAAAACGTCTCAAGAATCAATTAACTTAGTACTATTTATGACAATAAGATGAGAAGGATGTTACTTCACGAGAAAAAACAAAAAGATATGGTGGGGGTGTTGGTGTTTGATTAACTCTTACTTAGTCGTAATGAATTCGAGTGACAAAATATCTCTAATTACATAGGATAAGACTGCTACTCTTTTGATATTACAATCACATGCTTATCCTCGTACTTTAAACTTTATGAGGGTTTGAATTCCTTTTGAACAATAAATAAAATTGTTGCCTCCACTCAACTATCTAATCAATTCACTGGTCATTAGCATCTTATCTTCCCACAAGTTGATCCAATAATTAGGCTGTGTTATTTGGGTTTAGATTCAACTCAGTTCGGATAAGATTCGATTCGAGTTCGTTTCGTGTTTTAAAGCGAACTAAATTTGACATTTTTTTTAAACGAGTCGAACTTGAATAGTTTAGATTATTAATCCTATCCACAAGAATGGACAATTCTAAATAACTTTGAAACAAATTTTTTGTTTTTAACTAATAGAAGTATAGAAGTTCAAAAAAACAAAAAAAAATAATTATAGATGCGAGGTTAATGATTGACTTAATAACTATGGCTCCGCAATTAAATATTAAAATTATGGATTCGATCCTAATCGTCCACCTTTTTATAATAATTAATAATGTCTAAAAAAAATACAAACGTAAGTAAAAAGAAAATTGTTTTTTTTTTCTTTTTTCCCTTGCAAGCTTATGTAGAAGTGGTTATTGTATTTTAAATGAGAAATGTTACAATGATCAAATTTTGAGATCAAATTTAGAGTCTAAATAATATGGTAGTTGATTTAGGATTCTTTCATTGATGTCATGTCATTTGAGTCCCAATAAAAATTCAAAATAATCAATTACCTTTGACTTTAAATTTAATCTTAAAATTTGATTAATATAGTATTACTCATTTTAAATAAGAATTGAGTTTCACATCGGAGAGCAAATAAGCTTTTGTAGCTTTTTGCCAAATGGAGGGTCCTTAGCCTTCTCTCTCTCTCTCTGAAATTTTCACTGCAAATCAAAACGCTTACTTCGTCGTCGTCGTCGTCATCGTCATCGTCTTCGCTCTCTTTATCTCTCGTAATCAAAACTGATTCAGTGGTTTCTTCAGGTTTAGTCTCTTACTCTGAGGTTCATTTTCGAAAAAAACTTCTCTCTGCATGTTTGTCCGTGTTCATGCTGTGTTTTCTTTGATGTTTTGTAGTCTGGTGATTTATTATTGTAGGCTTTTGGATTCAGCTATTCTAGCTCGGTGTTTAATTTCTTCAATTTTTTTTGTTTATCTCCTTGTTATTTGAATGCATTTCTAGTTGTTTCTTGAAATTTGTTCTAATATGTGCATATTTTAGAGATCTAAATCTCCTAAGTAGACCGTATATATTCTATGCATGTCTGTTTCTTAGTTTTTGCTTGTTATATGTATCTATTTGAATATTTCTAGTGTATTTGGTTGGAAAATGTTGAGTCAGAGTCTTTCACTTGATCATTGAGTTAAGACATCTAATTTTTGGAGGTATACATTAGAAGTTTGGTCCCTAGCTCCATGTTCAAGCGATTATGTGCTCAAACTGTGATATATGTTATTTGATAATTGATAGTTTGATGTGGATCTCCATGTGGTGATTATTGTTTTTTTCTTTATGAAAAATTTTGGAAAAAATGGCTGGGTAATTTCTTTGGCAATTTTCAGTTCCTTAATAGTTGCAAGGGCAAAGGATTTGGCTTACTCTGTCTAACTTTATCCATAAATTTTACCGCCTGTGAACTGAAAGATTTTGGCAAGGTTAAATACTTGGTGGTGTTCTATGCTACTTTTGCAATATTTTCAGAGTTTGGATTTGTGTACTCTAAAACTATTGTATTTTTGGACTGTTTTACGATGGAAGAAATGTTATTTTTTAAAATGGGAATTCCCAGATCATCATTTGAAAGAAATTCATTGGATGGTTTGCTAAAAACTGTGGCCAGCTCTTGTTCAATGTGTTGGCTCTCTCTTTTTGGCCTTCATTAAAAGGAATCTGGTTTTTATTTTGTTGTTTTTGTTTTTGGCTATTTGCTTGAATCTTCAGATTGAAAGGTCCTTATTTTATTTCAATTTCCCTAAATTAAGCAGGTTTGGGAAAAGACAAAAGAGAGTTTTGATTTGGAATGGTTATGTCTCCTCCACTGCTTGGTGTTGGGGAGGAAGAAGGCCAGAGCAATGTGACTTTTTTGGCTTCTTCGGCTTCCTTGGACAGTATATGTCGTAACAGCCCAGAACTGAAAGAGCGGAACTACATGGGGTTGTCTGATTGTTCTTCTGTGGACAGCTCGACAATCTCCACCACATCAGGAGACAATAACAGCTGTCTGAATTTGGAGGCCACCGAACTGAGGCTTGGGCTTCCTGGATCCCAGTCTCCTGAGAGGGATTCGGAGCTTTCCTTGCTAGGCTTGGCAAAACTTGATGAGAAGTCACTCTTTCCTTTACATCCTTCAAAGGAAGGTAATTACTTCTTGTCGCAAAAGGCAGTTGTCTCAGGCAACAAAAGGGGCTTCTCAGATGTTATGGATGGATTCTCAGAGGTGAAAAGCTCATGCTTAATGATGAAGTTGAATGATTTCTTCTAATAAGTCTGATTCAGAATCTGTTTAATTTGTTACAGCGTTCATTTCTTGTCAGTTCGGAAGTAAATGTGATGCTCTCACCCAGGGCTTCTCTAAACTCTAGTGTGAAATCAGGTTCCGTGAAAGAAAACCCTGGAACTCAACCAGGTAAACTGAAAGAGATGATTCCCCAAAACACAGCTCAGGAGAGATCTCGCCCTGCGAATGAGACCAGTACAAACTGTGTCGGAGCTGAAAATAACAACAGCAGTGCACCTGCTACAAAGTAAGTGCAGATGACTTAAAAGTGGGGCATGTTGAGAACGTTTGCAGTTAATGTTGAGGATTCTTTCTGATCTTCCATTCATGGCAGGTCACAGGTTGTGGGTTGGCCACCCATTAGATCGTTTAGGAAGAATAAACTGACTTCTAGTCCAAAGAACACCGAGGAAGTTGATGGAAAAGCAGGACCTGGCGCATTGTTTATCAAGGTCAGCATGGATGGTGCTCCTTATCTAAGAAAAGTGGACTTGAGAGCTTACTCCGCATATCAGGAGCTCTCTTCTTCCCTTGAGAAGATGTTTAGCTGCTTTACCATAGGTAACCTGTTTTAAGTTTCAATTGGTACAACAATCATAGCAAACAATTCAAGCATTGTGTAATGAACATTGAACTTGTCTTTTGCATGTCAAAGATGGTTTTTGTTACGGCTATTTTGGTATGATGTCAGGTCAGTATGGGTCTCATGGAGCTCCAGGCAGGGAGATGCTGAGTGAGAGCAAGCTGAAGGATTTGCTCCATGGATCTGAGTATGTCCTTACTTATGAGGATAAAGATGGTGACTGGATGCTTGTTGGTGATGTTCCTTGGGAGTAAGCTCTGATCCTCTACGTTTGTTGTGTTGATTTTTCTATCCTTTTGATGTCATTTATTTTTTAATGATAGATTAGCTCTATAAACAAGAAGTTACAATTTCTGTTCTTCTAGGATGATTTTGATATGTGACAGTGCATAAAACAAATGAGATGAATACAGCAGAGTGGGTAGTTTTGGAGTGCTGCCTGATGGTTACTACGAGTGTTTCTTTTAGGAAGCAGCCAGTTAGGGGGCCAATAGGAGCACTGATTTTGTTCTTGGGGAATGTAAGATTGGAGTGCATGAATGTTTATTAAATTCAGAAAAATAAACATGCGTGGAAAGAATGGTAACTAAGCAACATCTACTTCCTAGATTAATCCTACTTAATAGCATCTCCATGGCACACTCTTGCCATGGAGATCAGGAGATGTTATAAGCACATTATGTTTTATTTCGATCCTGCAGCTGTTTGATGGCAAAGTGTAACAGTTAAAACTGGTGCGATAAGATAACAACTAGACTATATCTTGTTAGTTCGTTACTGATCCATTAATGATGTCTGGTGTCAGGGAGAACCCACAAGTTTCCTATATTGGCTTAAAACGTTATACTTCATATTTTCGTTGAGGTTCCAATCAGCTAGCATGTTGCTACTTGTTAACCATGGAAAGACACTGAAAGTCGTGTAGGTTATTTTGTTTAATGATGTGCACAGTAAATATTCATTTTGGCCATCACCATTGCTGTCCAGGCTCCCCATCCAAGAGCATGAACAGACAGTGGCATTTTTGTTAGTATGCATGAATTTAATATTCCACCATGGCTTCTTAGATTTGCAGTTTCATGATCTTTAAATATTGTCATGAATTTCATATTTTAGCACTAACTAGGTATTCAATACAGAAATATCTCAAGGCATCGGGATGTAATTATGTTTGTGTAATTGTGGGTTCTACCATTAGCAGATATATATGTATCAATTTTCAAGTTGTATGTGCAGAATGTAAGACATTGATGAACAATAAGACAACATTATAGCTAACCTTCTTAAAAGGCACTGAACATTGTGGTTTTATGCATTTTTTAAGGACACAGACACACTTTCCGAAGTAATCTAAAAGGTGTTACACATGGCTTGTCAACACTTGTCTGACTTGCCAATCGTGGATAGTAAGGGGTTTATTTATGGCAGGAGATTCAATTTACTGTTATTCTTGCGGCTTATACTTGCATTGGTACTCAGTTTTTAACATTTTCCACCTCCTCAATTGATGAAATGAGCTTCCCCTTTTCTTGGATGAGTTTTCTGGGCAATAGCCTGATGCACCATTTCAGTTCTTAGATGTGTCCATATTATTATAGCTCTATTACTGATGATCTAAAGTGCCATTCAGTAGTTTAATATCAATCAACTAGAACACATTATTTTCTTCATTTTTTCCTTTTTGCTTCCACTGAAACACATAGAACTTTGGTCATGAAGTAAAACATTGCTGCTGCTCATAATTTATCTATTAGTGGACTGAAATTTGCATCAATAACCTAGGCATCTACAAATTCGACAAATTAAAGTTGTCCAAAGTGTTTTTAATAAGTTGCACAGAGTACGTGCTACCTAATTCCTACTTTCACGCATGGCAGGATGTTTATTGGTACATGCAAGAGACTGCGGATCATGAAGGGTTCTGATGCCATCGGCCTAGGTGAGTATTTCATATATTGCTACAGGGGGGGACGATTACAAATTATCAGAACAGAAAACATTCCCTTTTCCTTGAATGGCACTTCCACTTCACCATTTGCTCTTGCATGTGTGCATTTCGGACTCTCATTCTTGAGTTATCTTTCCTTACTATGTCAACTGGAAAGCTACCTAGAAAAGTATGCTCTATCACTTTGAGAATTTTTCACATGTGAATTCGAAGAATTTTAGGAAACAAGATTCACTTTTAAGAAAAAAGTGGTAGTCCACCCCATGCCCCTTCCTCTCTTGAATTATTTTATGATGAACATTTTGATACCAAGACCCAAAAAATCTAGCAATTTTGTTGAGGTTTATAAGGTTCAATTAGGCAGGCCATGTGCTTTGAGTCGTGCATATTGGGGAGAATTGAAAATACACATGCATTTAGTTTGTCATCCTAAGTTTGCCCCAATAACTTTGAGGTTGTATATTTGATAAGGGCTACTTCGTGCAAATAGTGCTGAAGTTTAGGGTTTGTATCCAGTCCACCCCTCCAAAATCCCATTAATGGGGGACTAAAACTGGGGGTACATTTCATTATTTTGGCAATGCTTGTTTCTGAGCTGCTTTTCCATGTCACACTTTTGCTTTTTGCAGTTATTCAAGTCTCTGGTTTCTGTGGGTATGAATTCATTTCTCTGAAACTTTTTGCTTTTATGTGCAGCTCCAAGGGCTGTGGAGAAATCTCGAAACAGGAATTAGCTTATATTTGTTTACACATGATTGTTGCCATCCATCCAGCACAAGAGGGAGAAGGGTTGCAAAGCATGTTACCCAGGTGGTTGTTGAAGGTTGAGTTTTGATCAGTAGATGTTGGCACTGGACGGCCAATCATGGGTAGACGCATTAGTGATCGTTAGTGTGTTTTTCTTTTTGTAATTCATGCTTTCATGTCATGTCTAATCTGAAAATGATAAAACCCTTTCTCGGGGAGTATATAACTGCAATGTGGTGAATTCCTGCTTATACAGGAATATTTTAGTATGTAAATTGTTTTGCTTGTTGAAAAATTTTCTTGCATGTGTACTCAAAACCAAGTTGGCTGTTAGCTTGATTTTTCGTTAGCTGTTCTCAGTATTCCTGCTGTGCAGGTTTGGAGGCAGCTACCTTCATGCCACTTTGATGGGGTCTAAGATGTTCAAAAGCATCCAGTTAACCTTTGACTATCTCGGCCATTTGCATCCTTGGCGTTCTCTAATATGGGTGTCTTCTGGATTGTGTTGAGTCACACTTAAAGAGTCGTATCATTTTGGATTTGTGTTATATTTAGGGCGTGATATTTCTGGCTTGTGTCGAGTTCCGGGAATCAAAAACCATAGGACTAGGGTTTGAATCAAGAAAGAGGATGATCTGAGAATCATCGCTACTGTTTTCAAATGATGTGTTATTTGCTGTGGGGCTTGAAACATTCTTATTTATGAGCAATGTTATATGGAGTTAAAAAATAAATTTAAAAATTAGACTTGATAATTACAACAATTGATTTCATTGTAAGTTTCAGTATTTATTAGGACTTGCTGTCTGTTTAATGGTTGAGATTATTTAGTCTAATTTTTAATTTTACATAATATTACTCCTTATTTATACATGAAATTATGTAGTCTACTCTAGTAGTTATCCCTTTGGGATATGCTTAGTCTGAGAATAGTCATGGCTGGCATGTGGTGCTCAGTTGGTAGGTTTGCATTATTGAGATGCGCCCTGGGAATAATTTAATCGATAAGTGTGGGCACAAACTGTCAGGCTCACCAAATGCTTGAATTACAAGCTGTTTTGTTTTTTGGTTACAGCTGTCCAATCTTATTTTCATATTATTTCTTCGAGATTAGTGGTTGGTTACCATGATTCTGGTTTAAAATATGTCTCTAAAAGTATAAAGATAGCTAGTCTTTATAGAGTGAAAATAGAATTGAATCAGGGACTTTTAAATTAACAAAAGACAGGTATAACTATTGGATCACCCATCTTTTAGTATTATTTTTTTTTTATCAGTTTACCACCCAAATACTAAAAGAAGGGTGGGTTTTTTTTTTTTGTCGGTGCTTGCTTTAATTAAAAGTGTGGAAATATTTTTTGTTTGACGGGACAAAATCCTCTGAAAATATGCTTAGTCCCCACCTTATAAATAGGCTTATCAATTTTAAACACTCATGAAATTAACATGGAATTAATGGACTCGATTTGAACTTTAACTGGTAATTAGTAAATGAATGGACCCGTTAGATTTGTCATATAAGTAGATAAATATGAATTGCAATCGCTTAAATGTAATAAAGACAAACACGATTTATGGATGCTTTATACACAACACAAACTAAACTATAAACAAATATAAGTAGGTTGGATATGGGCTCAACCAATGTTGACATAATCAAACTTAGAAATGATACAAATAGAACTTGATACGACTCATTAACAATTATCTAGCAATAATGTAAGCAGATATTTGGAGTGAGAGACAGAGTCCATATGCGTATTGTGCCCGTAAATGTAGGTTTATAGTTCGAACCACATAAATTCATGCATTTTTATTTTTTATTTCGTATTTCTAATCTCTTTCATTCCAAAATTTGTTAGCTAGGAAGAGTAAGGTATGTCTTGTGATATTTTTGAAGTACTTTTATAAGCAAAAAAAAAAAAGGATGGCTGCAAATTATTTTTCAAAAGTGATATATATATATATATATTTATATTTATTTTAATGGGTGGGTAAATATACTTGTAATACATACTTTATACTCGCAATTAAGTATTCTTTGCCCAAACTTAACATATCCCAAACTGTACTATTGAAGGATGCTGATTGCTGGGCTCTATTTGTTGGTGGACTATCGAATTCAGCTCCATCATACAAGAGGTTTGGGCCCGAAATAGGGCTATAGCAATTTTCTAGCAACTGGACAATTCAATTTGGTCAAATGCCTAATAGCAAACTTCTCTACCTTTAATTAAGGAATTTTTGAACAAGTTCCGGGATAATTTTCTTATTAGTGATCTCGATATATATTGAGGGTTAGTGACGATATGGATCATAATGATAATATTGTTAGTAGTGATGATACGGATGATACATTCTGCTAGTGACAATATTGATGCTAAGCACGATATAAATTGTGATCTTTATATAGAGCTGAAATTGTTAACTATGTTAAATACGCTAATTAGCATATATATGCTAGCTCTCATATATAACTACTAGTTATTGTCTGTGCCTGAAAGTACAAAATAATAAAAAATAATAAACAGTAAACATATTTATATTTATATCCAAAATTAAATTACAAATATAGAAAATAGATAAAAGAATTTAAGCACTGTTTGTAGTAGGGGTGAGAGGTAGTGGACGGAGACGGTGGTGGTTGTGGTGGCGGCGACGGTCATGGCGGTGGTGATAGTAGAGGTAGTGGTAGGATAGTTTTAAACACTATTTTTTTTTTAATGTATTTATGAGAAATAATTTATAGAAGTATTTTTAAAAAATCACTCAAAACACACATTTAGGAGCCTATTTTTTTCATTAAATTTACGGTGTTAATATTAATCGTTAGATTAACTTTAAAATAAAATTTAAAGCGATCTTAACCGCAAATAACAAAAATTATTTTATTTATCTTTTGAAATTTAAATTGTAAGCTACTTTATTATAGATATTATGATTGCCCTTTATGTTGAGACCAAATTCAAGCCTAGACACTAGTGTAAATGCATGGATCATTTGGGTTCAGCATATAAAAAAAAAAATATGGTCTCAAGTGAAGTCTGGATTTGTTTAGCAGAATTACTGTTAACTCAATCGAATTATACTGTGCACTGACGTCCTAAACTCAGCTCACGTATCGTTTTAAGTGGTCAAACAATCCAACCCATGGAACATACTGAACCCCCAGGTGACAAGAAGACAACATCAAGGTGTCAAACCTTTCTGTTACAAACTCTTGAGGAAGATTAGCCTAATATTATTTCTAGAGTAACTTATATCCATGGAGTAACAACCTTTCCACCTTACACTGTTGGATCACTAAGACCGACTTTAATCCTAGCTCGACAAGTGGGACTCGCAGTGAAAAATTACTAAGAGTTGAAATTTCTTGTCTTTTTTGAGAGTTTTGAGGTTGTGCCAGTTCCCTCCATTCTTCTGCTAGCATTGTAGGGGCAAATGAAGACATGAATCTCTGTAGGAATCAAGGGGGGGATCAAAACCCATCACCTGCCAATAAATCTTTGCCCATTCCTTCTATCACTCAGTCAAAACTTTAGGTGCAAAAGCATGGAAGAACACAATTCTCATTCAAGGGTTTTCAGTAATTCTGATGTAGATAATAGCAGCAGGGAATGGCATAGGCATAAAAAGCCACTTGGTGTTGGAAAAGAAGCCAACAGGAAGACTTGAAAGTTGAGTCCTAGTGAGGAAGTGTGACAGTATGCTGGATGGAAAGTAAAGAAGACGACACGACAAGCTTTTTTAAAAAATTGACGAAGAGAAAATGATTCGATTTCATTTTAGGATTTTCTTCTGAACAGAGACAAATTTCATTTCATCAAAGTCATCCAAAATTAACTGCTTGAACATCATATAAAAGACCCTTTCTTCTCTGCATATCCCTAACCTTGTCTAGTTGAACGAATAAAATTCAGTAAACACAACCCTTCTAGGCCATAGCCATTTAGAAGCATCTTCTATACATTGCAGCAATTCAACCATGGTCGGTTTTCGTTCAATGATGTAAAATGGAACATACATCCGACCCTTTTCAAACCACGTGGTGACACTGCCAAGAGACTAGTGTATTAAACTGCCCTATAATTTAAAATTACACGTGTTCTAATACCAACCTCAAAACACCAAGGACCTGTCTAGCAATGGTTCATATCCCCTTGGCTGTCTAGTTTGGCACCTGCTGGCTCCATACCCATATCTGAAGGAAATCTAATCCTTTGCATTTTGTCAAGTACACACTAATCAATCCATCAGATCTTCACACATCAGACAATTTATGACAATGATTGGGTTGGCCACTTGTGAAGCCCTACAGAATCTGAGAGAAAAAATTTTGGCCTCTCCTAAAAAAAATCTCATAATATCTCAGGTGGTAAGTCCATGTCCAAATCATTGGATCTTAAGACTCTTAAAACCATGCTGGACATGATTTAGAGAAAGTAAGGTATTAGATTTTCTGCTTAAGGGTTTAAACAAACAAAGTTCCCTTCAACTGAGCTTCTGATTTAACCAAAATCAGGGCTGAAATGCGTTACCAAATATGCATGCATGCTATACACACAAGACTCTAAACATGGTTTAACTTGAAAGCCTATGTCCTTGGGCCAAACCAAATATAAAGGGCATACCTAGTGCACGAGGTTTTCATTATTGTGGGATTTGGGGAGAGTTAGATGTACACAGTTTTATCCCAACAAACAGAGAGGTTGTTTCCGCCGGCAAATGAAGATGAAGGTGACAAAAATTTCTCTAAAATAAAGGCAAGAGAACCCAAATACCCTTGTTTCCCAATGGAGTTAGATTTCCAAGTTGTAAAGAGAATAGGCTTCCAAAGCACCATCAATCTCTAATTGAAATCAGATTCCAAACAAGTACGAATCTGGACTGAAATACAAAACATTCACAATAATTCCTAATCCTCATGATTCTCACATTCGCCATACAATTCCCAGTTATGAAATGGTTTCTTGCTTAAATGCATCTCATTAACACATGTATAAGCTTGTGATCATATGCTTGGCCATGTGAACATCTGAAGATTTAAAAATTTTGCACTGGTACTTACTTTGTTGATCATTGGAATTATTTTCAAAACAGATCATAATCATATGGAAGAACATGCAGACTCCTATAATGACAAATAATATATATACTTACAGTCTTACAATGATTAAAATTATTAACAGTCATATGGTTCATAATCATATGGGCATTTTGTTCCATGAACATGAAAGTTCATTCAAGGACTACTGATGAGGTTGTTAAGGGATTGTAGCAGTGGTTATCAGTTCATAACATGTGCCCCAATAATGGCGGCATCTCAACCACCAGAAGGAAGGAAAGCTTTCATTTTCAAACACATTAAAGTCCTCTCTTTACTTAGATTATTCTCATCCCAACCAATCCCAGACCTTTTTATTCCTATCGTCCATGTGACTATGCCTACTAATTTAATGTCCAGTCTTGTCGAATCATTCTACCATTGACGGCTAAACCAATTAAGAGAACCTATCTCACCTTACCTCCTGTTTAGTTTTATAGTTAGTGATTTGGATTTTTTTAGGTCTGGGTTAGTTGAGATGGGGACCCAAAATGATGTAGTTAAAAAATTTCTAATCCATTTCTGACCAAAAAACTCAAATTGCAGTTCGAGTTTTTGTACTACTGTATTCGGGTTAAAGAACTCAAACTAAAACTCGAGTTG